CACTGTGTTGAATGCCTGATCTGGTGGAGCTGTGGTAGGTTCCTAGCTAGGTAGCTTAAGTATAGCTAAGCCTGGTTGATGATTTTACTTTTCCAGTCGTTTCTCTGAGCGGCACGTCCGGTGTTGAGAAATTGCGCATACGCTCTACATTTTTGTCCTACGGCAGGGGCGGCCGTCTAGCACACAGTGCGAAGAATGAAGCGTTCTTCATGCGAAATGTTTCTCCACTTACTTTTATTTGTTGGCTCTGGTGGAGCTTTGTGGTATGAGTGTAAAAGAAATTTATTGTGACAAAGTGCATCTTTGTACAGTGTAATGTCTGGTGGAGGACATGAGGATTGTGGGACAAATGTGAACCTTACCAGTGTCAATAAAACCATATCTATGTTATGACTTCCCTGGATACAGTATGCTTCGAATGGTGATACACACAATTTTTCGGTCTATATTAGTGAGGTGGTGTTCCGGGTGAATGACACATAATTTTGTACGCCAACGCACCTGGGAGGAGTCGTGAAGAAATATATGCTTAGTTATTCAGAAGATACACTTGGTATTTATGTGAATGACAGTGGCAGTGTGTTCGGACAGTTCTGGGATACAAAACATTACATTATGCTGTGAGGTTTTTGCAATGGTTACTGGTGTGGTTCTTTTTTATTGGGCAAAAGTAGAGTTTGATCTTTAAGTGGTATTTGTAGCTAATGATTGTTTAGTTGGTATCCTATCACTAAAAATATTATAACAGTTTTCAACCCTCATTCCATTATTGGGAACAGAGGTACTGAGGAATTAGACTGCATCTATTGGTGATTTTTGGTTCAAACTGACCTCAACCAAATTTAAATGGACTCCTGATGGGAAGATGGTCAGTGAGGATTTTTTGGGGGACTTATATAGTGATTACACCAGGAATATGACTGGGATATACACCTGTGTAGCTTATCTCCCTCGCTCCACCACTACTATGATATCCACGTCATATTAAGGATTTTCGAAGGTAAGTTTTGTTATAGTGGTTGTTGTATTTTTTAATTTTTACTTTTTATAGTTGACGTCCAAACTTAATTACGGATGTTACCATGAGTAGTCACATGAGCTCCACTGAAGTGGGCAGTACTGCTTAACCTATCAGTGTAAGGTGGTCTACTGATGTGTACACTTCAGTTTGTACATATGGGAGTATGGGGACCTCGCTCCTCTTCTATACTCTGGACTGTTGTAGGTCTAAGCCAGGTAAACATTGTTTTGTCCCTGTTGTAGTTTGCAAAACAAAATGCTGTTGTTTGTGTGATTAAAACCGCGGGAACGTCTCTTTACAAACATGTTTATGTGACTCACATAGGACAAATTTGTCTATCTTCAAACAATGTTCAGTTGGTGGTAGGGTTATTAATTATCTTCTCGTTGTCTTGGTTAAAAATGGTACTATAGTGGAGCAAACTTGTGAAAATTAGTAATTCTTACAAAGAAAGGTTGAAAACACTGCAAACTGTCCAACAATATCCGAACTAGTCATCTTAACTCCAACACATGACCAGAGCAAAAGACAAGAGAAGAGAGGTTGGAGATGGATGTAAAACGTGGTTATGGTATCTAAAGAGATCATGGTCCGCAGGAAAAGCAAACAAACCTAAGTGAACTGGCTTATTACACACAAGAAAACAGTGTAGCTGTATGCCCACTAACAGAAGTGTACGTACACACGAAGTAACAGTCGGCCACACACAGCGCGCATGCGCAAAAATGTGACGATCACGCGCGCTCGTGGATGCGGGCTAGGCTGGCTCACATCACGAATTCACGATCACATGTCTCACGCTCATATCATATAGGGAGTTAGTGGGAAAGATGAAGCCGTTATGAAGCGCTACGTGCCACGAGCCTTCTTGATTACGATTCGTTACCACTTTGTGTTGATATGCTGGATCTGGTGGAGCTGTGGTAAGGCCATAAGATATGCAGCTATGCTTGGTTCAATGTTTTGCTTCAGTCTACTCGTCTGAGCCAGGACCTGAGGATTGTGGGACAACTGTGAACCTTACCAGTGTCAATAACACCATCATCTATGTTAATGCCTCCCTGGATACAGTATGCTTTGAATGTGACCACACACAAGATGAGGACGGTTTAACATTATTAATAATTGAGATAATGTTCGGGGTGGGTGACAAAGTTGTTACTTCCAACAGCATCCTTGGAAGAGTGGTGAAGAAGTATCCACATAATTATTCAGATACACTGGTAGTTCAATACATTCTCGAACACAAGCATACAATGCTGTGAGGTAAAGAGTTCTACAGGAAATAGAAGATTGTTGTGTCGTGAGAATTTTTTCTTGGCAAAAGTGGGAGTTTTGCTCTTTAAAGGTATCTAACTTCGGAAGATTAAAGTTGGTATCACTATCACTAAAATATCTCCACCAGATTTCAACCCTCCACTAATTTTGGGGGCAACAGAGGTTACTGAAGGCAGTACACTACATCTATTGTGTGATGGGTCAAACTCACACCCTCAACCAAATTTACAATGGATCTCTCCTGATGGGAAGATGGTCAGTGAGAGTGGGGAACTTGATATAGTGACTACCACCAGGAATATGACTGGGATATACACCTGTGTAGCTACTCTCCCTCACTCCACTGCTACTATGAACACCACTGTCAATATCACCATATTTCCAAGTGAGCTGGCTGAAAGTGTTGTATTTTTTTAATGTTTGTACTTTATAGTTGACTGTCCAACAATAAATTCTCCGGATACCATGATGGTCAACATGAGCTCCACTGCAGTGGGCAGTACTGCTACCTATCAGTGTAGAGATGGTCCTACTCATGTGTACACTACTCAGTGTACCAGTACTGGAGTATGGGATCCTAGCCCTGACTGCACATCGAAAGAAACAGGTATTCGAAAACAGCATCAATTTATGTTTAGTCAAACACATCTGTATATATTATACTGCATGATTCTATTCAGATTCTCTATTTGAGAGGTATAGGATGTGGCTACCGTGGGGAGCAGGGGCAGTGGGACTTCTCCTGCTCTGCTGCATCACTAACTGTGCTGTGATATCTACTGTGTGTGTCTGCAAGAGAAGCAGGAGTAAGTCCCCTTCCAATATCTGTTCTGTTTTTACAATGTTTGACTCCCAAACTTTCATGATGCCATATATAGGAAAGGGAAAACAGTACCTTCTGAGAGAAAATAGGTAATGTACATACAGACTGAGTACAGTCGAGTTTTAGTCATGAATAGTAGACATCCATGATAGTATTTTTCTATTCATGCCTTTGAAAGCTGAGCACGTACAATTACAATGCTGTTCATGTGAAAGAACATTAATTGGCACTCTCACTTCCAGGACTATACGTGCTTAGAATAGGCTTAGAGCTACACTAGAAAAGGGTTGAAGCTAACGCACTATATACTTGAATTATAAGGTGTATCTGTCTTATTAGCAGCCATAGTGATCAACAGCAGCAAATGATAGTGAAAAATGCTCTTGGTGATGCATGAACAGTCGGCTACACACAGAGCGCATGCGCAAAAATGTGATCACGGACCCGATCGCGCGCTGACTGCGCGTGAAAAACCGACCGCCCCCGGCCCCCACTACACCGGCTCCCAACATCACGATCACATGTCTCACGCTCATATGGGGAGCCGGAGCTAGTGGGAGAAGGTAAAGCCGTTATGAAGCTCCACGTGCCACGAGCCTTCTTGATTACAATTCGTTACCACTTTGTGTTGATATGCTGGATCTGGTGGAGCTGTGGTAAGTCCATAAGATATGCAGCTATGCTTGGTTCAATGTTTTGCTTCAGTCTACTCGTCTGAGTCAGGACCTGAGGATTGTGGGACAACTGTGAACCTTACCAGTGTCAATAACACCATCATCTATGTGAATGCCTCCCTGGATACAGTATGCTTCGAATGTGACTACACACAAGTTTTCACTTTCATTCATGAGGTGGTGTTCAGGGTGAATGGCACAAATGTTACTTCCAGCAGCACCCTGGGAAGAGTGGTGAAGAAATATATGCATGATTATTCAGATACACTGGTAGTGGATGACAGTGGCAGTGTGTTCAGTACATTCTGGGACACAAACATACAATGCTGTGAGAAACGTTTATTCAATGCGTTTTCGTGGCAAAAGTAGGAGTTTTGCTCTTTAAAGGTATGTAACTACGGTAGATTTTAGTTGGTATCACTATCACTAAAATATCTCCACCAGTTTTCAACCCTCCACTAATTATGGGGATAACAGAGGTTACTGAGGGAAGTCCACTACATCTATTGTGTGATGGGTCAAACTCAGACCCTCAACCAACTTTACAATGGATCTCTCCTGATGGGAATACGGTCAATGAGAGTGGGGAACTTGATATAGTGACTACCACCAGGAATATGACTGGGATATACACCTGTGTAGCTACTCTCCCTCGCTCCACTGCTACTATGAACACCACTGTGGATATCACCATACTTTCAAGTAAGGTTGCTGAAAGTGTTGTCCCATTTTCTTTTGAATATTGCACATACAGTTGAATGTCCAACATTGAAGTCAACAGACACCATCATAGTCAACATGAGCTCCATTGCAGTGGGCAGTACTGCTACCTATCAGTGTAGAGATGGTCCCACTGATGTGTACACTACTCAGTGTACCAGTACTGGAGTATGGGACCCTCACCCTAACTGCACATCAAAAGAAACGGGTATTCTAAAACAGCATAAATCTATGTTTAGTCAAACGCATCTGTTTATACTGCATGATTCTTTCAGGGAAGTGGCTACCATGGGGAGCAGGGGCAGTGGGACTTCTCCTGCTCTGCTGCATCACCAACTGCGCTGTGATAACTGCAGTGTGTGTCTGCAAGAGAAGCAGGAGTAAGTCCCCTTCCAATAGCTGTTCTATTTATGTTTGACTTCCAAATTCTCTTGATGCCATATATAATAGAAAAGAGAAAACAGTACCTTCTGAGAGAAAATAGGTAATGTACATACAGACTAAGTACAGTCGAGTTTTAGTCATGTATAGTAGACATCCATGATAGTCATCCTTTGAAAGCTGAGCACGTACAATTACAATACTGTTCATGTGAAAGTAATTGGCACTCTCACTTCCAGGACTATACGTGCTTAGAATACGCTTAGAGCTTCACTAGAAAAGGGTTGAAGCTAACACAGTACTTGAACTATGATGTCTCTTGTTTTTTTAGAAACCATAGTAATAAAGAGCAACAAATGGCAGTGAAAAATTCCCAGTACTTGCCTGTGGTCAAGAAAACATCAGAAGGAACAACAGCAACAACAACACTAAATGGGCGGTCTTTCGTGATAGAGTCACAGCTAACAACACCGGCAGAGCCCAACGGGAAACCCTCAGAGCCCAATGGGAAACCCTCAGAACCCCAGCCTACCACCACACTTCCCATACCCCTGGGACAGTACTCAATGATCACGACCATACCAGAACCAACTAGTGAGGTATTTGGGTCATAATCTGACTCGCAGGATGAACTAAAACAACCACCTGTGCCTCAGCCACTGGTGCCCCTGGAAGTACCACAAGAAACCAGAAAGCCAAATGGACAGTACTCTATTGTACCGGATCACACAACGGGATTCATTGGTGCATACTGTGTAGTCCAGACAGTGGAAGAAAACCCAACACCTGAACCCAGCAGAACAGTAGCTCAGAAACCACCACAAGGGAATCAACAAAAGGTGACTGTCTCAGCCAATGCACGTTTTCCCCAACTGTTGAAAAGTTAAATGAAAGTCTTGTATAATAAACTTTTTACAACGATGTGGGTGGATATTCTTGTATCCAGCATGCAAGCCACTATACTATGCCCACCCCTCTACACTCTCTCTACTGCCACCCCTTTTCCCAAACAAAACTGTAGTGTTTACTCTGAAGTTTTGTGAAAAAGCTTTTGCTGAAAGGCATGTGTAGCAGATGACTCCAGCCCAGTGTTATTCATTTCACTCTCCGTAAAAGTGCTTGCATGTTCATAAGAGGACCTTTCAAGTTTGTAGTACTGGTTTCAAGTATGTATGTACATGCAAATGCACTATCATGCTCATGTGACTCCAGCCCATGTTGTTTCCTAGGGTCTGCTGTATGTGGAAGTGAGTCTAATACAGAAGGTGGTGTTTTGATCTGGTTGCAGATAGAGTCGAGTATGCCGCTCTGGACCTCAATGCCATGGCCAGCCAACAACCACCACCTCCTCAACACCTCCTCCAACACATGATCTAGGTCAAAAGAACTCATTGTTTTTAGTATTGCTGGTCAATATCTGTACTCAGCAGACATTAAAAGGCTATTTGTAGTACTCTTCAGAAGTGTGCTGTCACTTTTGGGGGGTTCTGTAAGGGTATACCTTTTATACTACATACCTAAGGTTACTATTAATGCGGGTATATACTAATTTTAGCGAATTTGGCGGGGGAATCAGCAAAACCGCTAAATTATGCGCGCTATAATTGTGCCGCAATGACAATTCGCTTAGGTATTCCTTCTCCTTCTTAAACCCATACTTGCTGGTATATACGTGCAAAAAGTCATTTGCAATTCAATTCTTTAAAGGTTTTTTTAGTGACAGCACTCTAAAACCAAGTAGTAGTGGCAAAAGTTGTGAAAGACGGTTATGTATAGTGTGTATCACTTTCTGCAGATTTGGAAGTGAGTCTGGACTACAATGCTGTAGTGACTGCACCACCACCTGACACCTTTGTGAGTCTGGACCAGATCCTCATTCAGTTGAGAGAAGTCACTCCTCACTGGAGGAGACTGGGAGAGGCAGTTGGTGTACAGAGGCTGGACGAAATATCTCGATATGTAGGTCAACCAGAGGAATAATGTATTGTCTTATTGTGATCTCTCTCCGTCTAGGTGGGTAGTGAGTATGAGGCAATGGTGGAAGTGGTGGATGGATGGCTGGCCAACCTCCACCCCAACAAGCCCACGTGGAGGGAAATAGCTGATGTGGTGGACAGCATTGGTCACCATGACCTGGCTCACTCCCTCAGACAGGTCTACATCTCAGGTATACCAGCTAACTACGACTCGTTCACAATTTAGTGCAATCCATGGTAATCTCTATGATATGTGGTTTTATGAAAGGTTCACTGCCCATAAAAGTGAGCAACGATCTGCCAGAGTCTCTGGTGGTCAGAGAATTAAATCCCAACTCCTCCACTTCCCCCTCGTGGAGCTGATGATGGAATATTTCCTCCACCGTTACCTGCAAGAACTTTTACATAGTCATACTTAGATGCTGTGTGCATATAGGAGTTTTTGACATTCGCCCTCTATTGTCTGCACCCTCGGGCCCCACCCACGCGCAGTCAGATCGCATAATGCGCATGCGCAAATAAAAATTTTCGCCGCAGTGGTGGCGCGTTTGCAGACATGAAGCGCCATGTGGTTTGTTCCTTCTTGATTAAGATTCGTTACACTGTGTTGATATGCTGATCTGGTGAGCTGTGGTAGGTTCATAGGTAGCTAGCTTTGCTGGTTCAATGATTGTTCTTTCAGTGTACTCGTCTGAGCTAGGACCTGAGGATTGTGGGACAACTGTGAACCTTACCAGTGTCAATAACACCATCATCTATGTTAATGCCTCCCTGGATACAGTATGCTTCGAATGTGACCACTCACAAGTTTTGGGTCTCATTAATGAGGTGGTATTCAGGGTGAATGACACAATTGTTACTTCCGACAGCACTCTGGGAAGAGTTGTGAATAATTATCCACATGAGTTTTCAGATACACTGGTAGTGACTGACAGTAGCAGTGTGTTCAGTACATTCTGGGATACAAACATACAATGCTGTGAGGTTTCTACCAGTGGTTCATGGTCATGCAGTGGGAATTTTTTCATGGTAAAAGTGGGAGTTTTGTTTCTAAGGTATTAACTAATTAGATTATAGTTGGTATCACTATCACTAAAATATCTCCACCAGTTTTCAACCCTCCATCCATTATGGGGGAAACAGAGGTTACTGAGGGAAGTCCACTACATCTATATTGTGATGGGTCAAACTCAGATCCTCAACCAACTTTACAATGGATCTCTCCTGATGGGAAGATGGTCAGTGAGAGTGGGGAACTTGATATAGTGACTACCACCAGGAATATGACTGGGATATACACCTGTGTAGCTACTCTCCCTCGCTCAACCGCTACTATGATCTCCACTGTCGACATCACCATTTTTCCAAGTAAGGTTGCTGAAAGTGTTGTTGTACTTTTTTTAAAATGTTTGTACTTTATAGTTGACTGTCCAACACTAAATTCTACGGATACCATGATGGTTAACTTGAGCTCCACTGCAGTGGGCAGTACTGCTACCTACCAATGTAGAGATGGTCCCACTGATGTGTACACTACTCAGTGTACCAGTACTGGAGTATGGGACCCTCATCCTCTCTCTACTCTGGACTGTATTGAGTCTAATGGACAAGGTAAATATTTGTTTCTCCCCTGTTGTTGTTTACAAAACAAACCACTGTTGTTTGTGCTGATAAAACCGCAACTGTCTCTTACAAACATGTTTATGTGCTTCACACAGGACAAATGTCTACTCTTCAACCGTGTCAAGTTAGGGTAATAATTCTCTCTCTCATTGTCTTGGTTCAAACTGGCCTACTAATGGGAACACTTGTGAAAATAGTAATTCTTACAAAGAAAGGTGAAACACTTTGTAAACTGTCCAACAATATCCGAACTATGTCATATATAACTGCAACACAGGATCAGAGCAGAAGACAAGAGAAGAGAGGTTGGAGATGGATGTCAATGTAGCTTATGGAACTCCTAAAGAGATCATGGCACGCAGGACAAACAAACAAACCTAAGTGAACTGGCTTATTACACACAAGAAAACAGTGTAGCTGTATGCCCACTAACTTCAAACTAATATTTGCAGAGCAGAGCGCATGCGCAAAAATGTGACGACTGCACACATAGCGCATGCGCAAAATGTGACGATCGCGGACTGATCGCGCGCTGGCTGCGCGCGGTGCAAAACGCGTGGATGCACTGACCGCCCCACTACTTCTCACGATAGCATGTCTCACGCTCATATGGGGAGCTAGTGGGGGGAAAGGTGAAGCCGTTATGAAGCCCCACGTGCCCCGAGCCTTCTTGATTACGATTCGTTACCACTTTGTGTTGATATGCTGGATCTGGTGGAGTGGTGGTAAGTCCATAAGATATGCAGCTATGCTTGGTTCAATGTTTTGCTTCAGTCTACTCGTCTGAGCTAGGACCTGAGGATTGTGGGACAACTGTGAACCTTACCAGTGTCAATAACAGCATCATCTATGTGAATGCCTCCCTGGATACAGTATGCTTTGAATGTGACCACACACAATTATTCGGTCTCATTGAAGAGGTGGTGTTCAGGGGGAATGACACAGTTGTTACTCCAAGCAGCACTCTGGGAAGAGTGGCGGAGAATTATCCACATAATAATTCAGATACACTGATAGTGAATGACAGTGGCAGCGTGTTCAGTGCATTCTCTGACACACACATACAATGCTGTGAGGTTTTTACCAATGGTTCATGGTCATGCAGTGGGTATATTTTGTTCATGGTAAAAGTAGGAGTTTTGCACTTTAAAGGTATGTAACTTCACGAGATTATAGTTGGTTTCACTAGCACTAAAATATCTCCACCAGTTTTCAACCCTCCACTAATTATGGGGATAACAGAGGTTACTGAGGGAAGTCCACTACATCTATTGTGTGATGGGTCAAACTCAGACCCTCAACCAACTTTACAATGGATCTCTCCTGATGGGAATACGGTCAATGAGAGTGGGGAACTTGATATAGTGACTACCACCAGGAATATGACTGGGATATACACCTGTGTAGCTACTCTCCCTCGCTCCACCGCTACTATGATCTCCACTGTCGATATTAAGATAATTCTGCCAAGTAAGTTTTAGTTCTAATAGTGTTGTCCTATTTTATTTGCACTTTATAGTTGACTGTCCAACACTGAAGTCAACCTACGCCATCATAGTCAACATGAGCTCCACTGCAGTGGGCAGTACTGCTACCTATCAGTGTAGAGATGGTCCCACTGATGTGTACACTACTCAGTGTACCAGTACTGGAGTATGGGGCTCTCACCCTCTCTCTACTCTGGACTGTACTGAGTCTAATGGACCAGGTACACATTTGTTTTTGACTTGCAAAATAAACTACTGTTGTTTGTGCTGATAAAACCGCAACTGTCTCTTACAAACATGTTTATGTACTGCACACAGGACAAATGTCTACTCTTCAACCATGTCAAGTTGGAGTAATAATTCTCTCTTTCATTGTCTTGGTTCAAACTGGTCTGCTAGTGGGAGCACTTGTGAAAATAATACTTCTTACAAAGAAAGGTGAGTGACACTTCCAACAATATCCGAACTATGTCATAACTCCAACACAGGATCAGAGCAGAAGACCAGAGAAGAGAGGTTGGAGATGGATGTCAATGTGGCTTATGGAACTCCTAAAGAGATCATGGCACGCAGGAACAAGCAAACGAACCTAGTGAACTGACTTGAAAACTGTACAGTGTAACTGTATATATGCCCACTAACACACCAAGTGTGCGAATTGAAAATGCTAATCATGGGAAATAGACCACATGGAGGGATGCCAGTCCGCCAGACCGCCACACACATAGCGCATGCGCAAAAATGTGCCGATCGACGCGACACATCGCGATCGCGCGCGCGCTGACTGCGCGTGGCGCGCGATATGGCATGGACGGACGCGTGCATGCGCTCCACGTGTGCCACGAGCCTTCTTGTTTACGATTCGTTACCATTTTGTGTTGATATGCTGGATGTGGTGGAGCTGTGGTAAGTCCATAAGATATGCAGCTATGCTTGGTGCAAATGAGCAGTCGGCTACACACAGAGCGCTGACTGCGCGTGAAAAACTCGTGGATGCACCGACCGCCCCCGGCCCCCACTACTCCGGCTCCCAACATCACGATCACATGTCTCACGCTCATATGGGGAGCCGGAGCTAGTGGGAAAAGGTGAAGCCGTTATGAAGCTCCACGTGCCACGAGCCTTCTTGATTACGGTTCGTTACCACTTTGTGTTGATATGCTGGATATGGTGGGAGCTGTGGTAAGTCCATAAGATATGCAGCTATGCTTGGTTCAATGTTTTGCTTCAGTCTACTCCTCTGAGCTAGGACCTGAGGATTGTGGGACAACTGTGAACCTTACCAGTGTCAATAACACCATCATCTATATGGATGCCTCCCTGGATACAGTATGCTTCGAATGTGACTATATACAAATTTTCGGTCTCATTCAACTCGACTGTCTCTTACAAGCATGTTTATGTGCCTCACATAGGCAAACGTTCTACTCTTCAACCATGTCAAATGGG